CAAGAAGTTTGACATTTATAAGTTCTGCAAATACCTGTTACAGTTAGTATGATCGGTGCATCTGTTGTGTTGGTACTTCATTAACTAGTTAGTGTAATGTTATCATTATTCACTGTACTGTTTTTTCATCAACTGTTTATGATCAAGAAAGTGTCCTGTTTGTCTGTAACAATGAGTCAAATTTCCTCTAGAAATTGTTATGATTCCGGGGTTATGGGTTCCGGGTAGAAAATAGGGCTTCAACCAACACATCTCAACTTCAATAATCTATTCTGCTATCCTCTTCATCTGCCAATCATTGATGGCTAGCACATGCTGTTACACCTCCCCCCCCTTCATCTAACCCGGTTGTTAACGCTTGACAAAGAGAAAAGGTTGGAAGTGAGTTTAGCAACCTCAGCCTGTCAGAAAAATACCACTGCTACTGAAAGTTCATGGCTTCAACCGCACAGCTCTATGTTTCACTAGGAACTCATTAGAATCCAAAGAAGTACGTAAATATTTCAAGAAATTACACTATGATTGCTATGTTACGCAAGTGTATATGTTTTTCTTTTTATAACAAAAGTCTAATTTTTTTTCATTCATTTGTGTTCCAAGTTGCACTTTAAGTTTCAGTAGAAATGATATCATTTTTTGAGAGGTAGAGTTGGCTAGTTCCACACACTCAACATTCTCTCTTGCTCTATCGAGTTTACTATCGACTAATCGACGTTTTGTTTTGGAGTCAGTCAACTGAGAATCGAATCATCCTTCGACTTACACATCTAATACTTTTAAAGAATAGAATGAAATATTCAAGTGTTGGTTTGTAGGGATTTGATTGGTTTCAGGATTTCATCATTAGCTGACATTAGTTAGAGAACCATTGGAAAACTTGGGATTACTGGACAACTGTTTCGTCCTAGTTTGGGACTCTTCATCAGTACGCACCCACCGCGATTCGAACCCAGATGGGTTTTTCAATGGTTCTCTAACTAATGTCAGCTCGTGATGACATCCTGAAACCAATCAAATCCCTACAAACCATCACTTGAATACCAATGAGATGCTCACTGGCGACTGGCCCTATTCAGGTAGGTGGTTACCTGGGTTCCAGTGGGAAGTCGTGACCAGTAGGGTGCAGCTGGTCGGATGTGAGGACAAATACTCGCCGAAGACATTGGCTAGCGGTCGCGCTATGTCGTGAATTGGCGGAAGTTAGAATTCAAGGACCATTGGATCGTGTCACAGCGGCTAAATGGTCTACAAGCTCGCCTTGTAACCGGAGGGTCCTGGGTTCGAATCCCTGTGGGTGCGTGCTGTTGAAGAGTCCCAAACTAAGAATGAAATATTGTTTTGTATAATCAGTTCACTTCGTTTATTCGTTGTTTATTACGGGCGTGAGGACAACTACTTACCGATAACATTGGCTAGTGGTCAAGTTATGTCGTCAATTGACAGAAGTTGAAATTCATGGGCTGGCCACTGGATCGGGTCACAGCGGCTAAATAGTCTACGAGCTTGCCTTGTGACCAGAAGGTTGTGGGTATTGAACCCCTGTGGTGGATGAGTACTGTTTGAAGAGTCGAAAACTAGGACGAAACAGCTGTTGTCCAGTACTTCCTGTGGCTGATTTTCCAATGATTATCTAACCGTTGTCAGCTCACGCTGAAATCTTGTAACCAATCAAACTAAATCCCTACAAACCAATACTTGAATATTACATATATATTATTGACCTCTCCGGGTGTTATAAGGAAACGATAATAATAATAATAATAATAATAATATGTACTTTGAATGCATGAATATTTTTTTGCTTCGTTTGATATGTGTTTTCCTTGTTTGTGTATGTATGATCGCTGACCAGCTCATCGTTTAGAATTTATTCGGTTTTTTCAGAATGTACTTTTATTCCACTAAAGTACATACATAAACCTGAAATTACTGTGTATGCATTGTAGTCCTAGTTACCACATCTCTCATACGTCTTCATATATTTTATATGCAAGATAATCAAGTTTAAAGGATAACAACGGCATGCAAATATGTTTGAAGTTCAGTTACGGATTGATATCATTTAGAGAATCATTAAAAACCAACACGGAGTGTTGTATATCTGTTTACTTCTAGTTTTGGACTCTTTAGTAATGCGCATCTACAACTTTACTAGGAATTTAACCCAAGAATCTTTTGGTGACGAGACCCGAAGCTTGTTGACCATTCAAACATATATATGCAACACTTCGAGTTGCCATTCTCCCTCCATGTAGCACACAAGGCAAGAGAAGAGAGCAATCAGAAATTCAAAAGAATGAAAGAGATAATAAACAGAAATATGAAGCAAAAAGAATAGCAATAGAATTTTTTTGAATATTATAAATTACAGAGAGTTAATACATCTACACCAGCCATTGAGAACGATCACTTTGAGCCATATCACCAATTGCCTCTAGCCTTCATTGGTTGTTACCACCATCCCGAATACCCCAACCAGCATACCAGGATGTCCACATCTCCCTATGTGACTGGTTGGCTTAAACTAACTGTTGTGGGTTTCGTTAACTGATGGATGAAGTCATGTTTCGGTTCGACTACCATTAGTTTTGTATTTTCGAACCTGATCCGTCCTATATCAATCAGCTAACATTGGCCGTCCGTCGGTCGAGGAATGCGATAGATGGCTAGTCATACATGTATGTGTTACATATGTCCTAACCATCTCGATCGATGCAGCTGCTTCACAACCTCGTCGATGGATTTCCTCTCCTTACCTAGCACTTACTTGACAGAAGCCTCACCTCAATATTGTTCACCTTATTAAACCATTTAACACGAGAGACAGAACTCAGGCACCTACGATCAAAGGTAGATAACCGGCCTTTTCATGTCTTCTACTTTGAATGGTCATGTTTTGCTCATAGCCATAAAGGAGGATGGAGCGAACACTTGAACACTACACACGGCTTTTTGTCGACAGCTAGCCGGATATCATGTCTAAGCCAGAGATGGCGTTGTTTGTTGGCATATACCGAACGAGCCTTCTGTATCCATATTGAGATTTCTTCAGAGATCAACCCGATGGTGTTGTTTGATGCAGCTTCCCAAATAGGTGAAGTGGGAACCCCTTCACTCCTTCCTATCTTTAAGCTAGGAATGAGTCAATGTAGTTGTCATCGCAGGCGGGTATTTATCCCTTCACACCCAAACTGGACAGTCTTCAGCAGTACTCACTATGAATGGAGAATGCAAGTACACTCATCATCTGACTAGTCCTGAATCGGATTAAATATGCATTCTACTTACGAAACTAAAATTACTTACTGGTGTTAAGGTAGGTCAAGTCCACTGTAGATTTAATAGTTGAACAAACTTCTTGTGTACGCAGAGTTCAGGATTTAACATGTGAATTGCTATCGCTTCTGCGATTTGGAGAAGTTTGATTCTTACTCTTTTAGCAAGATTTCCACGTGTTCTGTAGATGACTTCGGAGTTGTTTTGTGAGTTGGCTTGGTGTCGAGATTCAATCGGGTGTTCCAGGATAGAGCTGTGGGGGGTTTTCATGAGGGTTAGTGTTGGATGATACGTTTGTACAGCAAACTCTGGGCACGGTCGACATACCTAGCTTCTCCACATGAGCCGGTGAATTGGTAGATGCAAACTGATGAGGCCAACAATAGGAGCTAATGCTTCACGTTCATGTGAATCATTGGTTTTGTGGTAAAGGTTATTCAGAGTTCAGCCGCGAAAAAGGTTGTCTTCAGAGAGCAGGATAGGCTGTATCTCAATATTACTGCCGATGAGTTTCCATTGAATTGTAGATTCAGGTAGAGAAATGTTTTTGGAAGCAGAAGGTGTGGGTGGTTTAGGTGGTTTAGGTCTCATGGATTTCGTGATGAATCATTCTGGGTAGCCAATTGTGGGGTGAATTGTCTTCAGAGTGTTTAGATCCTCTTCCATCGTATCAGGGCTACATATGCTGAGGATTCTGTTTATATATTTGTGGATCTACTCATATATGACTTCTATATTTCTTCTCTTGGAGCGATTCTACCAGTCCACTGACAAGTTCCACCACAAAAGTGTAGATGAATAAGTACCTAGATAGCTTACATAATCTTTTATTCTAAACCATAGCCATACTAAAAGTGCAAGTGAGTGGCATTAGTTGTAGAGTCTTTCTTTTCTCTTCCGTTTCTGCAATTTCACACAGTTTTTCCTCTCATGAATTTAATGAATAAATTGAACAAACATATTCCTTGCAAAAATATCATTTCATTCATTACAAGTTTCATGCTGCTTATGTCTGTACAAGTTAGGATTAGACGTAATTTATGGCTGCTCTTTGCAACTCCTCTTTCAGGTACGGTCGTCTGGTTCACGATCTTACTGATTTAGAAATCAACGGATCTTTGCGAACCTTACAGTCTCTTAGAATTCAGTTTTTTGAGTTTTTCTGTACTTGAATGTAAGGCGAATTCAATTATCAAGTATTGGTTTACAGAGATTTTTTTGGTTGCAGGTTGATTCACGAGCTGTTAATGAACCATTAGAAAACCAACGTTCGAACACAAGTCCTTACAGTTTCAAGGTGAGCTTGTGAGCGATTGGATCTGGTCCCAGTAGATGAATGATCTACGAGCTGGTCTTGTGGCTGGAACTTTCCGGGTTCTAATCCTAGCGGATGCACACTGATGAAGAGGTCCAAGCAAGGACAAAACGGCTCTCCATTTCTCCTTAGTTTTCCAATGGTTCTCTAACTGCTATAGCAGATTATAACTGGGAATGGAATCCCGTGGACATACCGATTTTCGGACTCTGAGAGTCTCTCGTATATACATATTATAAATGCGTTTTACCATCAACCAAAAAGCCGACATATGTAACCAGAGATCAAGCGTTTCCATCCAATCTATTATAACTGACGTTTCGTTTGAGCTTGGATTTTTTTAACCATTTCTTGAAGTTCTTTCACTCTTCATAATTATTTTTACTTTTTGAATATGATACAACAATAGGTCAACAGGCTAAAACTGTGCTCCAGATACCCATCATTGTTAGTATGTATAAATTATTATTAAGTGAGTTGAATAAGAAACTTGAAGAGGAGGAATGTGAAGCAGAAAGTGATGAAAATGAATTCGATGATGATGATGACGACGATGATGAAGAGGGGGAGGAGGCGGATGGAGGTGAAGATGACGTTGACTGCATCGACAATGATTCTGAAGAAATGATTATGAACAAAAATAAAGTAGAAAATGGTCTCGAACAACAACAGCAGGAACAACAAGGAGATGAGAAGAAAATGAATGGACAGGGTGATCAAGTGAGCATATATATATATATATATATATATATATATATATACGTTTTATATTATTTATACACTTATGCTTGCTTTTCGAATGCTCTTATTCACAGCTTTTTATAGTAATCCCTGACTAGTGACATGTTATTACTATCCCCTTGGGTTGCGAATAAAACATTGGGCTTCAATGGTACGTCTCCACTTTGTCCTGTTCTCTACAGTCCTCTTCATTTGGTCCCATGATTGCCTATAAGCTTTCATCTCCTCCTTATCACCATCAAACACCTGACTCATTGTTTCCTATTCGAGTCCCACTCGAGCGATGACCTGGAGCACTTGCCTGATCCATCTTCATTTCTTTCGATGTATTTGTTTAACAGTAGATTGTTGATTGGTACGAAATCTGATCGTCAATATGGAGGCAGCTGTTGTTTAACGTCTGAAGCAGCCTATTTGAAATGTTTTTCGGGATGTTCAGTGCAAGTTTCTCACCCATATAGAAGAAGCATCAATTGACTTAACAATTGGTGTTGAAAATACAAATTTTCTCCTTTGTGTGTTGAGTTCAGCAGACATCCAAACTGATTTCCCAGCGATGAAGGTCTACCATACCTTTTCGATTCTGGTTTTAACTTTTCTTCATTCGTGTTGTCACGTGTAGTTGAAACCATAATAATAATAATAATAATAATTTGCTTTATTCCAAAACAGTACTTGTGATACACAATGGAATTCTCAGCATTTTATTACAGTATTGTATCTCAGTTAGTTTTAACAACACATTGGCATATCGGTAGCAAAGCCAAAAGTGAACAGAATGTTTGAAGGTGTTAGAAAAGTAGATACTAGCATATTTAATGGCGTAAGCGGTAACAAAAAGGTCGAGATATATACAGAGTGTGAAAGAAAGAAGAAGAATGTTTTAAATAGAGTTTGTAAGGAAGGAAGAAACAAAGCAGCACACAACAGAAAAAGAGAGAGAGAAAAGGTAAAGAAATAAAACGCTGTACCTATAAATGATATCAGTTGGAAATACGAGATCCAGTTGTTCTACTGACTATTTAATAAGTTAAAGGTTTCACGCCTAATGCTTTCTTTATCGCACAGAACACGAGCTAACTTGACCATGTTGATTGGATAAGTGAAGGTGGTGACCTCTTTCAGATTTCTTCCGTTGATTGCGATTGGTGCTTGTTATTTCTGTTGTTGTTGGCTAGCTATCGTCATCATCACCATCTCCGTCTTGTCTATGTTCATTTGAAGTCCAGTCTTTGCAGCTTCTTCTGAAACTTTGTTGGTTTTTACCTGTAGACCTTCAAGTTTCTCTGACATGAAACATGAATCGCCCGTGAAGTCCATGTCTTCTAGAGTTTTATTTATTATCGATTCAACGTATTCCTGTTAAATAAAAGCCTAGAATCAATCTATGGTGGATTATAGCTGTTGATTTTAGCCATGTAGGGAGGTGTACACCTGTTCCTTTGGGATCCTCTGATTTCTAAAATCCATTGGCTGAAGACTTTTGGTGATATATCTCAGAAAATCATTCTCCTCACCTGTATAGATGGTTGAAGTGAAATATATACAACATTTGTGAAATTGATATTTCTTCTTTATTTGATCTTATCTGCCACCTATCTCTTACTTGGTTTCCAGCCGTCATATTCTTATCTAATTGTCTACTACACATGACTGCAGAACATTTGAATTTATTCACTGAAATGAGGATTTATGAAACTGTGTTTTTTACTTTATTGGAAAAGGACAAAAGCATACAAGTTCAATCGTGATGCTAATTGGTTAGAAACAATCGGAAGGAACCCCTTGCCTTATCTTACCCTAGGTATGATACTTGTTGACACTCGTCATCATGGTGACCAAAAAATGATTCTGAGATTGATGTCCTTCTGATGATTGTTTCAAAGTGTGTACAAATTTTAAACCTTCTTTGGTCAGGATGAAAAATCTGTTACTGCACTATTATTATTATTATTATTATTAGTTGTCTTAATTTTTTCTTCCTTTTATAGATTTTCAATGATCAAGGAAAGAAGAAAAGGAGACGACAGAATAACATGCAACAAGATAACTGTGACAACATAAGTACGTCTCTGAATACGTCTGTTTTCGTTCTTGTTGTTGTTGATATTTGTCATTCTTGACTTGATTTGCTTGTGTTTTGTAAGAAGCAGAGGTGTCTATTTTTTCTTTCTCACAGCTTGCTGATGAGTGCGAGTTATCCCACGAAACCTATAGGTCCAGGGTTTTCTTGCTTTGATCATCCCTTTCCGCTAACTCCTTTTCTGATTTTAATCACAGTTGTATGTCTAGTAGATGATGGCTTGACGTGCATAACACACACTTCTCTAGCATTCAATAAATTTCCCATTCTTTAATAACGCCACGTCCTCAACTAATATACTAGTGACCATTTTATACCACTTAACATTAGAGAGAGTGTGTGTGTGTGTGGGTTAAGGAGAGAAAGCAGAGGTCTACAATCAAAAACCGCTGCTTTACTTTGAATGACTGTATTTCTTACAGCTGTAAAAAAGGACAGTGCAAATTTACTGTCCTGTACACATAGATACCACATCCGTATCAAATGATAACGGAAGTACCCGATGGTTGGAGGCAATCTGCAGAAAGCCTTGGACACCTAGATTTCCTGCTTGTTGGCTTATCTACTGCAATCTTACACTGTGAGATTCAAACGAGTGTCACCTGATGCTACAACTAGAGATGCTAAAGGGTGTCTCAACTGATCTTTCATAGGATTGTATTTGGATACTTACATTGGATACTATTTACTAGCTTAGTAATCTAGTCAGTAATCAGTTCAGTTAGAGTTGCATCCCAACAACAGATTGAAATTGATCAACGCATACATTCAATCGTTCAGTGAATGCATAACCTGGTGCTTAGATCAGTTATACCCTTAATTTCAATTGTTTGCTGCTTAGCCAATTCACACATATACACCTAATCAGTTTATACACATAACCCTTCACAGTCAACTGGCCAGAATCTAATATAAACTATGCACACACACACACACAATACAACTAGGTAATTCGATAGTTATTTGCTATTAGATAGTTAGTTATAGTAGATAGATAGGTAGATAGGTCATTTGTTGTTATTTTGTATTGATCTTTTGGAATTTCAGACAATAATAACAAAAATAATCGATAGCATTAAATACATTTTAGGTAAACTCGCAGAAATTACTATTAGCAGTAAGTAATTTAGGTAACATGTAGTCTCTAATATATGACCACTATCATTACTGCAACTAATTATCATTATTATTACTGTTGTTCCGATCGATAGGTTAAATATTTATTAGCCAATAGGAATTTATGAGAGGACAATAACAGTAACGATAATAATAAAGCACAAGAAGGCGTACAGCTGATTTTTGAATTCGTTGTGTTTATACATAAATAGGCCTTAAATGCTACTACTACCACTATTCACGCATCTGTTGTTGTATTGACTATAAATGAAACTAGGTCAAAAGAAAATATGTTGTTTAGGAAATATAAACATGGTTTCAATTTTTTGTTTTTTACTCTTTTTCTGGCATAGTTTTTACCTTAAATGTTAAAGCTGAAAATAAAATTTCTAATTGACAAACAGACTGACTGTGAAATATGTGCTGTAGCGTGAGAATATAAGCTAGTGAATAACGAATTTATTTTATTACGGGAAAACGTATCGTGTTTATTCATCCTTAGCCATATTAATTAAAGTTCGACTAAGTCAGAAGAGAACAAACTGTTCTGATTGGTCGGCACTTGACCCAAGGGCAAACAAGTTATCCAATGAGGTTATTTCATGTCCACAACATAAATTAAATCCGTACTTGAGGAATAAACACTTTAACCTCTATAGTAGCCATCGTCCTAATATGTTGATTTCAATTTTTGCCGCTTCCTATCAATCTGCATTACTCCATATTACTATATAGATAGATTTTTTGCATTCCTATTGGAACATAGGGCTTCGAAGTCTAGCTGGAGTTATTAACCTCATACCTAACCTTCTTTCTATTCGGGGTTTATCACAAATCGAGTGAGGGAGAATTAGGAGTTTATTGACCGGGGATCCAACCACGTGATCATTCTACCACTGAATTGCCGACGGCATAGATAGATGATAATGGTTGATATGAGTGATGATAGCGTTTGAACTGCCAACTTATGCATCTTTTTTGGTTTTGGTTGTATTCCTTGAGCTGGGTGGTTTTTCTTTTACTGCAGTATGGAATGACATTTTTTTATAGAATTCTCCATGAATGATATAATTACTGTCTCTCCTGATAACTATGAATATGGTTTTTTGAAATCATAGGTCTTTTATTCATTGTGTTTCTTTATGCTGGCATTGATCGTTTCCTTGACCTAGTATATTCGACCCTTCTGCTCTGTGACTTGTTCTGTATAATCCTGTTCGGATAATCCTTTTTTGATTGCATGGAGGATTCCATCATGAACTGACATCAGTTAGAGAACCATTGGAAAACCTGGGAGTACTGGACAGCTGTCTCGTCCTAGTTTGGAACTCTTCAGCAGTACTCACCCACCGGGGTTTGAACTCAGGACCTTCTGTTACAAGGCGAGCTCGTAGACCATTTAGCCACTGTGACACGATCCAATGGTCCTTGAATTCTAACTTCTATCAATTCAGGACATAACGCGATCATTTCACAATGTCTTCTTCGATGAGTTACTGCCTCACCTTCGACCTGGTGTACCCTACTGGTCACGGCCCACCTTGTAGGCAGAAGGTCCTGGGTTCAAACCCCCGTGGTGATGCGTACTGATGAAGAGTCCCAAACTAGGACGAAACAGCTGTCCAGTACTCCCAGGGTTTCCAGTGGTTCTCTAACCTATGTCAGCTCATGATGGATTCCTCCATGCAATCAAACAAAATCCCTGCAAATCCAAAACTTGAAAATCCTTTTTTACTTTGAATTGATGTATATATTTGCTGGTGTATAGTAGATATATGCATTTGATGATGATTACAAAGTAGGTCGAAAAGTGTGTAGTACACACATGCACACACCCACACCCATACGCACCTACACACCAATCGCTAACATATCTGTAAGCAGACGACGACGACATGTTCACCCTTTTGTTTTCTGTGTCCAACTTCTCGCGTCAATCATGATTGTGAACATGCTTTTTTTTTCTCTCTCTCTTTTTCATTTAGCTTTCTGTTGATTTATTCTACAACATATAACTCAAATTATAATCTGTTTGTCCCCTATAAGTCATTCTCGTTTATTAGTTCACAGACGGGTTGATAGACAACATGGTTATCCTTTAGTGTGGAAAAAAATAGTTTAAATCCCACAAGATTGATAGAGGTCAAAACATTAGGGGGCGGGGGTAATCAATATTATTCAGCTTTGAAGTCACCACAGTCTTTTCAGTTACCTTCAAACAGACGGCGAATACTATTCACGCTTTTATATCCTATACACGCACACACACTCCCTTATGGATATGTATTTTTGTATTCTAGCCCCCTCCAACCCCCGCCTAGCTTCATGACATAAAGAAGATTTGACCTTTTAGTGTTTATTTAAACTTATATATGTCCAAAGCAAGTTCACTTTTAACGATTTGAACTTATTGCTCATTGATCATGCTTTCTTATCTAAAAGAAGAATTCACTAGCTGAGTATGCCTTGTATTCTACTGGGAAAGGTAGTCAGTCGTGTGGTTCTCCACTGATTTATTGCAGTTAGTTGTTGGGTCGGTGAACGACCTCTTGATACAGGTCGTCCGTGTGTGTGTATACAGTCTTGTATAGAAAGGTAACTTTTTCTCCGCTGTCATCATAAAAGGCTGTGTTCCCTGCGCCAACTGTTCCTTTTTCAATTTATATCTGTGAGATATTGTTGCTTGAAGTAGAAGAAAGGAAAAGATGTTATTTATTTTATTATTATTATTATTCGTTGATTACTTTCTGAGTGGTTTCAGTAGCACCTCTTTTCATTCCAATCGATTATATGTCATTACTTTCGACTGGCTCCATGACTGCCTACAAACTTTCATTTTACTCCTCATAAAAGGATCTTACACACGTCACTGTCAGACCCACATGCAGAGTCTTCTGAACACCTTGAGCTGCAGTCTACGAATGTTTGGCATGCGATTTGCTCCCGCCAAATGCAAGATGATGTTACAGGACTGGACTACACTGACTCCTACCTTAGAAATAGGAAGTGAAGTGGTAGACGACCGTGTTGATCACTTCACTTATTTGGGAAGTACCATCAGCCCCAACGCCAACGGGTTGATCTCCGACGAAATCTCAGTATGGATACACAGGGCTAGTTTCGCATATGCCAGTTTACGCCGTCTCTGGCGTAGACGTGATATTCGGCTGTCTGTCAACCAAAAGGCCATGTGCATTGCTCAGCAGTCCACTCCGTCCTCCTTTATGGCTGTGAGCAAGACATGGCCATTGGGAGTGGAAGACATGAAAAGCCTGGCTAGCTGTCTTTGATCATAGTTGCCTGCGTTCTATCTCCAGTGTGAGGTGGTATAATAAGGTGAGCAATATCGGGGTTGGGCATCGAGTGATAGGTAAGGAGGGGAAATCAATCGACGAGGCTGTGAAGCTTCAGCGACTGAGTTGGTTAGGACATGTGTTACGTATGCCTAGTCATCGCCTTCCTCGACAATGGGCAATGTTAGCGGATATAGGGTCAGGCTGTAAAAAGCTAGCGGTGGTCAGACTAAAACTTGGCACCAGTCAATGAAATCTACAACAGTTAGTCTAAGGCACATAGGAAGGTATAGACTGGCTGACTGGTTGGGGTCCTCGGGATGGTAGAAACCAATGGCAGCCGGAAACAATTGGTGATCTGACTTGAAATGTTCTCAATGGGTGGTGCAGATGCATCCACTCCTTGTGACTTATAATGCCTTATAAAACTATATTGTTCTTCCTTTTCACTATTCTTTTTGTCTCATATTTCTGTTTACTGTCTCTATTTTTCATTTTTTCTAATTTCTTTTGTTGCTTTGTGTGCTACATGGAGGGTGTGTGGTGACTTGAACTGCTGCACATCGGTGCAA